TCACATATTTTCTTATTTCATTTTTTCCAGTTGGATGATTATTTCATTCAACACAAGGAAACTGATTAGACATTAACAAATAGGAAAACTTTTTTCTTCTAGCCCAGGAGATTTGTGCAAGCTTAAAACTGCTTTTGCTGTTTTTAACCAGTCAGCACTGTAAAGATGGCTTACAACAAATAGGTTTAAAAAAATTTAATGCTTCTGAGTTTCACCAATTCATCTATATGCTTAACACAATATAACAGGCTATCAAAAAAACATTTAGTATAATAAAGTGAAAAAAATGAGAATCCGATTAAGCTTTACGATGTGTACATAAGTGCTCCATAATTTGTTAACAAGGAGGTGCTTTGAGTGCCATAATTAGTCAAAAGGGTATATTTGTTCTTTATGTATAAGAAGCTTAAATGCAAAAATGTTCACTTAAATCAATGTTTCTGAGCTGCTGATCTAAATCAGCCTGTCCTGCCTCAAAAACAACATCCAGATCTTAAAATAAGAACACCCTTACTCCTTTTCCATTAAGATCTGACCAAGATAGTATTTTTCAGTGGAGATCAAGAAAACTTTGTAGTTTTGTATCTCTTAAACATTGGCTGGTTTCATAGAGATCCACTCACCTAAAAATCATCTTCTGATCTCAGATTTTGCAACATAGTAAGTTCCTGAATCACGATTCAAAATCAGTTCATCTGGATAAAAATAAAAATTACCAATATGTTTCATTTACTTAGACTTTTCTCCATCTAAGTATTACACTATACACTGATACATGACTAGATTACAAAATGTACTTTCACTAAGCTGCTTCTTGTCTCTCTATTCTGAGGTGAAATGTGTTAACTTCAGGTTAAAGAACCTGGTGATTCTGCTATAATTTTTCTGTCATTGCCCATCTTTTCATTATTGATCCCACAGTAACTGCAAAAATCCAACTTTATATTAATGAAGGGCTGTTTGACAGTTTCAACACACAAAATGTATCAGAAGAAAAGAAAGAGGTTTGAATCCGTATGAGATTATTTAAATAGCCTATGAAATTACTTAAAAAAAAGTTCAAAGAAGAATAATTTAATTTGTTCCTTTACAGTTCTAATTTAGACTCTAATTACTGCTGTCCCTCTTACTCTCACTTTATTGTTACCAGATATTTCATTTTTAAGAGCGAATGATTTTATACTGTAAAATTCTAAAGAATCATGGCAGAATTAAACAAGGGAAGCTTTAAGTGACTTATTTCAGAATTATCTATGATGTCCACTTACGCATTTGATGTACTTTGTCTTTGCAGTCTCATGCTTGTTCTTAGTTTTGAAGAGCTCCAGAAATAAAAATGTACTGAGCAAAGAAAAGTATATTAAGGCATCATATTGAAAATAATTACTTTTGAAATGAAGATTACTGGTGTATATGCTAGTAGAAATTCCTAGTAGCAGGATGAGGAAAACAGAATCTGAATTTAAGAGCTTATAAGGTACTATATTGTTGTATAAGATATTTCATGTTTCAGTATTCTTTTAAAAGTATATATGTTATATCATTTAATTTTTTATTTAAACCATTACACAATAAACAGCTTTTTTTTTTTTCCCCCCCTTTTCCTAACAGGACAAGTTCAAAAAGAAATCGATTTAGTCATCAGCCCAAACAAAATGCCTACTTTAGAAGAGAAATGCAAAATGCCATACACTGAGGCAGTTCTACATGAAGTTCTAAGATTCTGTAATATAGTTCCACTAGGTATTTTTCATGCAACTTCTAAAGATACTGTTGTGCGTGGTTATTCTATTCCTGAAGGCACTACAGTCATTACAAACCTCTACTCTGTTCATTTTGATGAAAAATACTGGAGCAACCCAGAAGTGTTTTTCCCTGAGAGGTTTTTGGACAGCAGTGGGCAGTTTATCAAGAAAGATGCATTTGTTCCTTTTTCACTAGGTAAGAGTGATCCCTTCCATTATTCTTTTTCAGAAATCTAGAAAAGTACGACTTGTAAGTGATGGCAATAAATCAGGAATGGACGGCATGATATAGAACATCCATAGTTCTGATGGAACAGCTATTTTAAAGTTACAGTCGACATAAAGTTTAATATTAATCTTGTATATAGATGAGCATTTTGTTATATAAAGTAATAAAAAAGACAGTACTGTCTCTTTATCTAAGGGTTTTATACATTTCATATTATTGTGGTAAATAAGTGATATTTGTTTTGCAATGAATGTGCACAGTCCTTTGTGCTGAAGTTATTACATACAGGCGATTTACACAACCAGCTTTCAAATTTCCGCGCTCAGATCAGCACCAGAAATTGCAGATATTATTCAGAACTAGCTTGGGAGACAGTATATATAGCTCTGTCTTGTCTTGAGGAAGTATTCTGATGGTCCTACATCATCTTTATGGATCTGTCTTTTGATGCCTATGAGGGACCAGAATTTATTTCACATGTTTTTAGCCACCTGAAAATTAGGTACTGGGCTGCCTCTGCAATCAGTGAAAAGATGTAGCCTTGTCTACAGGATGACTTAGTTTACCTATCAGGGATACTTTTTCTCCCAAAGTTTTAAGAGGAGCTAAACCAATTCCCTTAGACTAGGTGCACAACTTCTAAATGGCCAAAGTTAGATGTATTTTATTAAGCTGCTTTTTGCCTGTTCTACCTTATCTGTTCCAGATTTTGTTATCCATTCAGGAGTTTCTTCCACAAACGCCTTTACCCGCCGCCTGCAACTAGTCATGCATGAAATGGGAACTAACATTTAAAGGCATTGCCCAGACCTGTTTCATATCTTTCTACTTACTATTATGTCAAGTAATAGTGATTGGCAATAGGTATAATTAAGAAAATAGTAGGGGACACAAAGGTTAAAATTCAGTATCATTTGTTTAAAACATTTTCTCTCTGGAGTGGCACTTCAAGACAGGATGAGATGGCTAATGGCTTATCTAAGTACATTTGACAGGATTAGCTGCAACAGCATTTGTGTAGTGAAAAATGCAAATTTTCTAAAATGCCTTTCTTGCCATAAATTGCCATCTGTCCTTTCTTACAGAATACCAACATCAAATTCAAACAGTTCCTCTTAGAACACAGAAATGACTTCATAATATGAGTGAAAAGACTGTTTTAAAATTATTTAATTACATTTTCAAAAACTTTTTTTCAATCCAGGAAGACGACACTGTCTTGGAGAACAACTAGCTCGAATGGAAATGTTTTTGTTTTTCACTTCGTTACTTCAACGATTTCACCTTCGTTTTCCTCATGGTTTGATTCCAGATCTCAAACCAAGATTAGGTATGACATTACAACCACAGCCATACCTCATCTGTGCTGAAAGACGATGAAGAGGAGGGTCTAGATTATCAGGTGGTGTAAAATGCTTGAAGTAGCCATAGATGATCCACATTGCCTTCTATTTTCACACGTTTTCTTGTCAGAAGAGCAAGAATTTTAAGGACTTGCAGATAAATTCTGTCTATATGTGCACAAGTTTATGGCTTTTATTTACTTGGTTTTCACACAAAAAAGAACACCTCAACCAAAAATGTAAAACATGTCCTGTGTTTAAAGTTGATATTTTCATTCCATCAGTCTATTTGGATTGTAGCTTCTGATTCCAGTTTTAAACATTTAATTACTTAGCAAGCCATTTTTACTTTGGAAGCATATTTTTTATAAACAGGGAGAATATGGCTCAAAATTTTTATACTGGGACTCATCTGTGGAAATTTCACAAAAGTTACTCCAGCTAAGCTGTTCTTTGCAATTTTCCATTAAATATACATAGCTAAAAAGGTTTGAAAGATATCTGTTTAAATTTCTGTAATTAAAAATTATCTAACTACATCTTTTCCAGCCTTGACAAACGATTTGTCAATTCAAGACTTTTAATCCTTCCTCTGCTTTGCCTCATCTTCCCAGTTGTTTTTTTTTTTCCTCCATTTTTCTTTCCCAGTTGATCTTTCATTTTCTTCAACTTACCAGTTGGTCTTTTCATTTTTCCAGTTGGTCATTTTCACCAGAAACTGTGAATATGGTTTGCAAGTCATTACTGTACAGGGAGAAATGGGGCCCCAGAACAAGGTTCAGAACAAAACCAACACTGAGCAAACAGTTACTTAAGGACAGGGCCAAATATGAGGCTTTGCTGTTTACACAGCTTATGCTTAGACTTGGAACTACAAAGAAAACTTCTCCAACCACTCTGGGCCTGGAACCTTTTTCTGAAGGCAGGAATTTGACATTTTCTGCTGACCTGACATGTTCAGCTGACGTGGTGCAGAAATATTTCCTTTGTTTTAAAACAGCAAAAGAGAACGATCAAACAAAGCTAATACCATTCCACTTATATAATAGCCTAATGATGAAACAGTGCTGCAGGTCCAATTTAAATTACTTTCTCTGTGGGCAGTCTGACCCACATGTCCCACAGAGTATCTCAACTCCCTGTTTCTGGCTGCTCTGAAGAAGGTGCTTGCTACTCCTCTTGCTGAAGAGCTGCCTTTCAGTAAAGAATGGGTGATTCAAAAAGGACGGGAAGGATGTAACTCCGATAGCTGTGTGTTGGGCACTCAGTAAAAAGCTGTGAATACACGACTCTTAAGAGTGTGGCAGACAGTGGGCCCTAGGCGTGAGACAGCTGCTGAGGTTCTCAGTGCTGTCAGGATTGCGACTCTGCTGGATAGCTGCATAAGCAGATGTTGGGGGCTTATGGAGTGTTAATGTAAAAACGGTGGAAGCTATAGAAATTAGGTGCCTTCAGCGTGCACTTCTTCTCATATCCCACCTTGTACTCTTAGATTAGCCAGAATTTTGTAAGTATCTAGGTTTGCCACCTGGGTAACAAGAACTCAAGGATATCCGTTAATTAAGACATGTTCAAAATAAATCTCAGTTAAAGGGAAGGAAAAAAAAAAAAAGCGAAAAAAACCCTAAGAGCCTATTCTTGCAGGGCTATGCATAAAACACAGCTGGCTAGTGATAATTCCATTTTGCTGATGTATATTGAGATATAACTTTTGCCTAGTCTTTAATTCATTTAATGAGAACTGTATTGATTATGTGTCATTCTGGTTTCTAAATCAAAATGCCTTATAAAAGCCTTAGAATATCAATCCAAACTTTTACCATATATGCCAACTTACAGTCTCATTAAGCAATCAAATACACTTGACAAACTGTCTTTTCTATAAGCCTGTATCAACATGAGTTATAGTATACAAGTTTCATTTGATATTAGTTTCTTCATTATTTTTCCTCACCTATGACTGACGTAGAATTATCCTAATGATCCAATTAAACCATTTTAAATATTGACATATTAGCTTTTTCCAGTCCTCTAGAATTTCTCCATCATATCCTGATTTATTAGTGATAACCTCAGTAGCCTAGAGACCTCATCAGCCAGCCAGCTCTTCAGACTTCCTGGTGAAAGTTTTCTAGATCTGAAATACTTGTCATAAATGGCTACTATTTAACATCCTTTTGTGATTAAGGTATTCATTATGTGATAAAAACACACTGGTTGGATTTTTACCCAAATACAGAATAAGTATGCATCAAATAGTTCATCTTTTCAGCATTTTTGTCAGCATTATTGCATTCTAGAAATTTCTGTGATTCCCATTAAGGAATGGATTTGTATCATCGAAAGGGGTTTCTTTGCATTATATTTTTGTTTGTTTGGGTTTTTTTTCATAATATGCTTAAATGTTTGTATGCTTTAAGAAATCCTTATCTTTCAGCTCTGCTAACTGTAAATTTTGTTTCTATCAATCACTTTTATTCCACTGTCAATTTGCTATATTTCAAGGCTCACAGTTTGAATTCATTACTATTCTATTTTTTCCCCTCTATTTGTTATATATAGCAGAGCTATTTAGGTTTCCCTGCCAAGTTAGATTGGTTTGTTAATCAGTATAGCTTCTTCTTGTCATAGAATTTAAAGGATGAAAAAAATATTAAACAATGCAGTTAATCCCTGCATCAAGGTAATACTGTTCCCATTTTCAGGAGTACTTCCAATCTGGTTTTAAATGTCCCAGTGTGTTGGACTAAGACAATACATGCAGATACTGATGGAAAGATTTCTTTAATTGAGATGAAGTTGTAACCTCTCAATTTCTGTCTGTTAATGCCATATACTGTGCTCCTGGTTTCGCAGTTTTCCTAAGTTTCATTCCCCCAGCATTTATAGACTTCTCATTTTTGCGTAGTTAGCTCTTTGCATTCATGGTGCTAATTAGAACCAGAAGCATTGCTTCCAGGTTCAGGTGTGTCAGAACCAAAAAGAAGAAACTTTCACATACCTTCTGTGTAAGTCTGCTGATATACCCCAGTGCAGGAAAGGGCTTTTTTGCTGTCAACTTAGCTAGAAATGCTTATTCAATTCACTTGTGCTGCTGTCAGTCCATGGCTCCATAGCAATCTTCTTTTTTTCAGTTTGTTCACTTCAGCTTCTTTCCATTGCTGTAAGATTATTTTCATCTTCTTTGTCCTGTTTTTCTGTCTTGTTCAGTGTTTGTAAATGCAGACTAGATTCTGTGGTCTGCTCACAGGAATATGAATTTTAGGATTAAGACCTGAATTTATATTCTTTACTTAGTCAAGTATTTTAATTTGTCCTCGAGTAATAAACAGTGGTCTTTTCTGAGTGCAACCAGAGACATTCTGTTAGTTGGAGAGTTCATACACGGCTCACCATTCCATTAGTTTATACCCTTCTATATCCCATTCAAAAGTCTCCACAGCCAACTATAGCGTAATACTAGTAGGCAGATTATGAGCTGCTGTGACATAGCTAGCTAGTTTATGTGAAGCACCGTGAAGCTTGGCCATCCTTGGCCAAGGGAGTCAGCCTTCCCAAAAACTGAAAAGGGAACGCTAGAACCCCATCACATCCGACACAAAGAATGCTGAAGAAATTCTAACTTTTCATTTCCTGAACTTCCACTCATTTCTGTGATATTGGTGAATAAAAGCTTACTGTGAACCTAATAAATGCAGGAAGGTTCATGAATGTATGTCTTCAAAAATTAACTATACAGACTGAGATTTCATAGAAGTTTGAGAAACATTACTGTTTCTCTGAAAATAAGTTATTTGATTTCATTGTGATTGAGTCTTCATATGTATCCAGATTATGTAATGAGAGAATGACCTAGGGAATCATAGTAATGCTTATTTGTTAATCTGCCAATATACACAACAAGTAGTTCGGCTAACTCAGACCATATGCCAGGATCCACCTGCATAGCTTTCAGCGAACAATCTCTCAAGTCTTAGTTCTCAATTTCCCTTAATAAGGGAATGATGAAATAGAAACAGGGGAAGGGGAGAACATCATATAGCTGCTTATTACAATGTAACATCTACTTTAGCTCCTAGTTAAAACGTTACTCACATTAGAGCTAATAACTGTCCAGAGGTTCAGTCCTATCATCCAGAAAATGAAAGTTAATTAAAACAGAAAAAATGTAAATAGGGAAGAATACAGGAGATTGAAAGCAAATAACCAGTACGTTCTAATTTTTGCAACTGTTTACAAATCATTTTGAAGCATAAGTGGTTTATCTGGAAAAATAGTTACAGGGGTTTTTAATGACATTTCTGGATTGACTTGATAGACAAACTAAGTACCAAGTGAGCCACTGGTAAAAACCACTGTATCTATAGGAGCCAAAGTGCTATTTTGGATTGCAGTTTAGAAAGAGTCTGCTTATTTCCCTTGAAAATAAATATATCATAGAACTATGGTAATTTTTAGTTCTATACAGAATCAGGGATGGAGAGGAGCAAAATTTGCTCCTTTTCTAGGTCAGTAGTGACTTATGAGCTAAACATCAGACTGGAAGATGTTATCTCCTTAGTCCATGGATTGAGTAACATTGCAGGAAACATGAACTGGGCCTGCAAGACAAATTTCCTTGTAACCAGGAAGTGCCTAATAAACAGAGTTCCTTTAGCTGTGCAGGTATGTCATTGTATTATGGATAAAGTGAAATGCTGTATCTAGGAGCACTAGAAATCTTTTAAGAGAACAAAATGAATATACTTTCTGTAGAAATGCTTCTGCTCATGCAGGACCAAGATCTGGCATTAGCTCAAGGGCCTTGCTTAAATGCCCCTGGAGCTCCGTGGCAATGCCATCTTTAGCCTGCTGGTCACTGGCAAACAGCTGGCAAATCACTGATTTTATTGTTGAGGATAGCTGCCAAAAAGGAACAGAAATATCTGTCCTATGCTGCCAAAAAGGAACAGAAATATCTCCCCTATGTAATTTTTGTGGATGCTGAGAAAACAGGCATGTCATACTAAATAACGCGCTACTGACAAGTCCAGACCTCCAAAGTTACTCACCAAGCCAAGGACAAACGAGGAAGCTTTCTATGTGGATACTTAAGGTGAGCTCATTTCTTTGCAGACCACATTCCACAAGGATCGTTGAAACAAAAGCTCTCCAGAGGATATCACACCAGCTCCTGGTAGTGTCTAAGGCAAGCTTTTGGCATTAGCTTAGAGATGTACAGGCTGTTGCAGAACCACACAGATTAGACTGCAATGGAAGAGGTGGTTAATGGTACCTGCTCTATGATGGCCATCACACTAACAGAGGTTCTCTGCTTAATTACCCAACCTACCCTTAACAACCACTCTGGCTTACCTGAAACATGAGTTCTTGTGGCCTAGTTCCCCTTTTTTGTTCCTATGGACATGAATATCTGCTGGAGCTAAATTACTGAGCAGATCTGCACATTTTCCTTTTCCCTATACCAGGTTTTCCTGCAAAGGAAACGTGTTCTGAGTGGGAGAATAGTTTGGCATCCACAATGTAGGCAGTGTGGATAACTTGTATTACAGAACTGCACAGGAAGATCTGATGTGCACTGACTTTAAACTGTAGAAGTTTAGTGTAGTCTCTATTCAGTGAGATTTGGTGTCTCTCTCCAAATGTTTTTTGCCCCAACTAGACTCAAGCAGAACACTTTTAATGTTGGAAGAGAATCATGGATCTCTCTGTATTTGCCTTGATGATATCTCTTTAGGCACCATCGTGGTGCAGACAAACTTTCCAGTAGAAGATCATTCTGTCTTCTAGTAATGTTGCAGAAGTTGTAGATTGTAATCCGGGAAAAAATACACTTGATTTACATTCATTTCATACACTTAAATTACAGTCACCCTCTGTGAGATGGATAGGCTTCTTGTGGGCCGATCCCACAAGGGATCGAAGAAGGAATAGAAGGAAGGTCTTCCCCTTCTGGACTCTAGCCTTTTTGGATGTGTCCAAATATAAACTCAGATGTCTATGAGCAAATAACAGAATACAGTTATAGAACGAGGGATATCAATACAGAAAAGTAATTCTTAGAAGGGCTTGGGATTCATAGTGGACGGTTAGTTAAACATGAGCTTTGGTTTACTGTGGAGCCAAAAGAGCTCATATTGAGTGAGGATACAGAAGCCACACCTATATTTGGTGCTGGCACAAGCCTTCCTTCAATACCATTATCCTGGTCTGTTGTCTATAATTAAAGGAGCATTTAAAAAATTTATGGCGTTCTGATAAAGCCATGAAAATGACTAAGAATATGTTTATGCTACATATTCTGGGGTAGGTGCAAGGTACTCCTACCAATTTGTGAGCTGACCAAATAGTATGGGATCATATCAGATGCAGACCATGTCCAAACTAATAGGCTTTCATTGCAGAATGATTTGTTATTTCAGATTGGGTGATACACTGGCACTGTTGAAAAGCTTTTGGGTAAGCTGGAGGCTCAAGCACCTGTCCAGAATATGCACCACAGAAGTGTATTGTAGAACATACTGGGTAGTAACACATTCAAGGGACTTCATTTGCTTTGTTTACCAAACACATAATTAAGCATCTTGATTACAGTCTACATCTATCTATTTAGAGAACAGAAAGTTAATAAATAGAAGTCAAGATGAAACATCTTTAAACTAGGAAACAGGTGAATGCTTTGGACTGCTTTAGACTAGGAATCAAGTGTATAACTAAGAGTGAGGACAGTTATCCATGGATTGTTACAGAAATTTTAAAATCGGGTATTTCTCTTGTGCTCTGGTTCTAACATGCATCGCCTTCAGCATGAGGAGAAGTAAGCTAGGTCAGAGTAGTCTCTCCTGTTTTAACTATCAGCTTATATAATGAATGAACTGTTCTCCCTCAACCCCAAACTTCCACAAGCTATTCAAATGTTAAAGGTGTCTGAGCTTATATAGCAAGCAGGCCTTTTCTTGAAATGATACATTGTCCTGCTAAATAATTAGATTCTGATAGTTTGCAAATAATGAAGATAAGCTATTAATAGTTATTAATAATTATAGCTAATTAATAAGCGATTAGTCTGCATATTATTAGCCTAAATTGAGCCTAAAGTACTAGTGAGTAGATAAGGCAGATTATGTTGTCCTTAACATAGCACATGTACTTGAAAAAGTAGCAAGGTCAGAGAAAACACAGTAAAAGATAGCCAAATCACTTGAAAAAGTGGTGAAAAAAAAGATGATGTAAATTTTGCAACAACACATTAAATAGGAAAATATAAGGACTAGGGATAAATAGGAAAAAAAATCATAATGGTGAAGATGTCAGATCAGAATTTATCTTTGGGCAAGATAGATGGAATGATGACAACATAAAATAACAGCTAAGTGCAGTGGACTATTAAAAGTTTGAAAGGATAAATTCTCAGTGTAAATCAGTCTGTGAAGGTAGAGATGTGTTTTCACAGCAGCTAGATGTCTGACAGTTTTGGGTTTTTTTTAGTACTATTTTTTGAAGCTGGGCGTCATAATTCAAATCCTTACCAAGATCAAATTAAACTTTTGTTCTAGAAATGTTACACCTTATTCTGTCCTTCATGCAATACAACTTGACAATCAGCAGCTTCTTTCACATCTAGATCCCTTCAGATATTTTTGAAGGCACATCAACTTTCTTGATGTCGATGGCATTAGCATAAAGCAGAACCCACACTCAGCACGGTCACTTCTTAGGAAGACTGCCAGCTTCCGGAGACATTACGTTTGCGGCATTCTTCTGAACAGTAACATTCCAAATAGATTAAATCCATTATTTTAATGGAGCAAATCAGGAGTGTGCAATCTAATCCAATAGTTTGGTATGACCGCAGCAAAGCAGATGGCTGCTTGCCCAAAATTTCGCATGCGATATATAACAGCCCATACTAGTATTTCAGAAAACAGAATAAACTTACTACTTATTCCCTTGCTGTTTTCAAAAGCTAATTTCCTTGACTAGGCTAGTAATAAAAATCTTAAAGGAAGTTTTCATTATTTGTATAAATTATATCAAAAGGATGAAAAGTGATTACATATAACAAAAATAAGCTTTTTACATTACAGTTGATTTGTCAGAATGCTTAACCACATTAATCCCACTGCTAGCATCTAGACAACAGTGTCCATGTTGTATATCCCATGGACAGTCTTAAGCCCTCATTTTAATGAGGGAATTAAGAATAGAGAAAGCTCAATTGCTGCTCAGGTCCTTCACTAATATTGGGAATCCAGGTAGAGGTTTAATGCCAAGAAGGAATGAAAGTTAGGTAATGGAATCAATAGGGACAAAACATCTTAGAGAAGTCCAGATACTCAAAGGTAATTAAGTTTCCTTTTTCTACATGCACCCCACTTTAAAGAGGAGTCCCAATACCCTTTGGTTATCTTCCGCTTACACAATAAGCGCAGTTAAGATACAAGTGTTGATGAGCGTGCACCATAGCAGAACTTTAAGAGCCTAATTTTTCCAGGAAAAACATAGGTACCTCTAACCCTTCTCATGCCTACATTAACTTGGCAGTTCATGTAATTGCTTTTTTATGTGCCTACATTGCACAAAAGTTACTTTTTAGGCTCCTTCAAGGCATCTTCATATCTTGTCCCATTGTATTTTACGTTGCATAAAGACACACTGTTTTTGTCTCAAAGACTATACCATCTAAACAACGT